GCTCCTACTCCTCTTTCAATTTGCTTTATATCGATTAGAAGCTGCGGATAATTTTCTTTAGCTTTTATCACTTCAACACGAACTATGAGAGTTCAATGGTAACATATCAGTGCTCTAGGCAGTGTAGGTGCCTTTTACGTCGTCTTTTCATGATTAACTTCTTGATTTTGTATTTGAAAGTCAACGGATGTAATAGAATTTTCTTGATATCATCTTTAGATGTAAGTAATTCAGACCAAAAAAAATTAAAAAGGAAGTCCCATGGTGGGTGCTTCGCGGCTCAAATTTTTTTTTTGACATGGATAGACAAAATGCAAATGGTCAAAATCCTCATTTTTGTGTGACTGAGTTTATTGCTAGGACGAACAGTTACAGTCGGTACAGTCACCTATCAAGTATACACCTGTTGGTGTTACTGTATACTATAGTTCAAACATAAGGGTATGTACAACCTCAAGGCTCCCTCTCCTCAATTCCAAAGTCACTGAGTGGTAAGCAAGTGTTCCATTTTATATTCCATAAATTGCAAAAATATGGATCATCTACACTACCTTTGCATTGAAAGAGGTTATAAGGCCAATGTTATTGCGCTTCTTAGGTAGCAGCAAGATATGTCCGGATTAATTGAGATGTACTCGAAAAAAAAACCAATTGTGATGGAGGACGACTTTGAATAATGTTTTGACCACAGTGAGATTGTGACGTCCGTTATCGTATGTATTGAGCTAAATGGTTACTCTGTCGCTGCTAGTATGGGATCAAGACGGTATCTTGGAAGGGTAATAAGAGTTTTTCAAGCTTGAATTTGGATGGTATGCGTTTGGCATCTAAATCTAGCATGATGGCGTGTACGTTGCCTGAAATGTATTTTGCACGCTAAGCGAGCTCAGATGAACTAGCTGTACCATAATCTTGGTTTTGGTTTGCGGCAGGAAGACCTGGATCTTGTAGCATACTTAAACCTTAAAATGAGTCTTCTCAATTATCTGGTGAAGGTGAAATGACGCTAAAAAACAAAACGGTGATCATGCATATCGGATTATTTGTAAGACCTCAAATGTTGTCTAAGGCCACAATTCAATACCGGTATTTGATTACTTTTACTGCATTTTAAGATTTTTATCGAGTTTTCTTTGCGCCCACGAAGGATTCTGTTATTTCATTAGAGCACTCAACCACAATGTGTGTTAGTCTATCGTTACCGACCAGAATAAAGTAGCACCACTTTTCGCTAACCACCCGTTCTAGATTTTTACATTGCGGCTGCCGCCAAAAACTTCCAGCTGACTATTCTCTATGTTACCAACCTTCATACTGGCACTTTTGTTCGCGCGACCCTTTCCACGCTTACAATTAGGTTTTCATCACATTTTGCACAATGAACGGACTCTTCATGGATTTAAAGGCGGCAATACTCACTGACAGTGTAATTGAGTGTTTTCTAATATACATCTTAGGGCGCTAAGCTTTCGCCGAAATGTGGAATAACGTTGTAACGGGGTGATGACCATTTACGCCAGCACACACCATAGGTTTAACAAAGATGCGAGAAGGGACACGAGCGAAATGGAAGCGTGTCTTTTGACAGAAAATTAGCTCTGAATCTTGTAACTTTTAATTAAGCCTAAGTAAGAGTGGATTCCAAGTTTTTATGAGCCACTCACAAAAAGAACGTATTCTTTTGTTTGATGTTAGGTCACAATTCCACTACCATTGTAATAGGAGTATGACTCGTAGTGAACACTATCTCAGGGACCGATTTTATCTACCTATGTACTATGTAAACTTAGTTTACCTAATTATATTTCGTACTGCTTTAAATCTTATAGCAGGGCGTTTGATGGTCAAGCTCCGTTAGATGCATGAACAAATTGCTGTCCATCTGTAAGGATCGGGATAATCTGGTCAATCATGTCCATCATGTTCATCTTATATTCCATGATTGAATACTTGAAAATGTAGTCGAGTAAAAGTTGAAGTAATGCGATTAACTCACTAATGATGCGTTAAAGTACACACAAAAATTGCTCCTTTAACTCTCTGCTGATTTCCTTTAGATTAAAAGGATCATTTGCTAATTAAAGAAGATAGAATTAACCGATAACTTGAGCTATGATGAAACACGAGTTTTAAATCATTTTTAACAATTTTAATTAACCCTGAATATTGTTGACCGCTCGAACCTCCACGTAATTAAACATTCTGTTGACCGTAACGCGGTCAACCAGCGGGATCCTGAAGACACATTGGCCACGTTAGTCGCATTGATGATGAAGAGCTCCCGCTGATCAACCCACGTTTATTATTATTTACAATTAAAATCACATAACCTTATGGACTTTCAAATCAGCGTCTAGCGCCGGTTAATACACTCTCATCTTTCCGGCTTGTGCCTTATTCCGTACCGGAGTCGAGTGCCGCGGCGGCGAAGGTAGCGCACTACTGTTTTTATTGGCGGCGAAGGCGTTATCAATATCGAGATCAGCGTTAACCTAAATTCCTAAAATTGCTGGACGTGCGCTTCTTGAAAAATTTCCTGTGTCATCACTTGTAAAGACTCACCTGGATTATTTACAGCTCCCTTACAAGGAACATTAGTGTCGAAACGAGCCATAACGAGGCTTCCGCCTGACTCGGGAACCTGCCAAAATACGCTTGACCCTAAACTAGCTCCAGCTGAAGTTACTAGAAGTGATCACGAATATGCACTCTACATTTCCATTTTTACCTTGATTTACCGCATGAGCTATAGAGTCAATCCCAAGCTCGGGGTAACCTCTAAATTATAGATACGCTCCTAAGCGTTGTATCGTTCGCAAAAAGGAGCTTATCACGAAGGACGAGGCTTCACATGCTTGTATCTTACAGGAATGAACATAGTAGCAAATTCATTAGTTGGCGTGGGTCTAGACTAGCCCCAATATAGTACAAGATTCTTTCTTTCGCATCTTAAACGGTCGCTAGTTATGCTGTCACGTCAAAAGAGGTACGCCATCAAACTTAGCTGCATGGAATCTGCCCAGCTTAAGCTTTTATATTACGAGTTCTGCAACAAACATCATTTAAGTGATCGATTTATCGCACGAACAGATGTATTCAAACATTTCACTGTAATTTTTAATACGACCAGCGGCGCACCATCACATTATCACAAAAGTTAAGAAGAAATGATAACCAGGAAAGGATGGAGATGCTTCCACAATTACAATTAATATTTATCAACTTACGTACAAAGAAGCAGCTCGCTCAATACAAATACAAACAAGGCTAGTTTTATGCGCATGCGCATCCTTATATCCACAAAATTTCTACTTGAATCAACTTTTACACTCCTAACTTATATTTACTATCGCATTCAAATTATACAAAATGATATTGGCCCATCTAGGGGCACACCCCACAATATTATAGATTACTCCCCATTTCGGCCACGAGCACACACTCGTACAAATTAATTACAATGACTAATAACAATCACAAAGGCGATTGACGAGTCCTTTGTATAGACATGAAGACGTTGACAAGCATATGCAGCAAATTTAAATGTCGCCAGTTCTATTACATATATCCAATATCCAACTTCCTCAAGTCTATCGCCGCCAAAAGCGCCAGTTAAAGATAAAACCCCATGGGTGCCAGAAACAAGCTTTTATCCGCTGCAGGTGACAATATTTAATATCTCCCTGAAGTTGAAACTTAGAAGCAGGATCAAGAGCGACTGGAGCCATAACTAAATGTGCGGGCGAAATACTGAAGACAGGGTTTTCTTGCGGTGGTCCGTTGGCTGGTGCTTGAAGTGTAGATGAAAACTTAGAAGGCGCGCTTTGAGCTGAATATATCGTTGTTGTTTTTTTCAATGGCCGCCGCATCAAAAGGTGCTGCAATTTTCTGCTTAGTCCGCTTCTTCTGTTATTCCACGTGTTTAAACCCAGACGGATTTCTTTTTGTCGATGTCCTTTGTCACCCCTTTTTCCTTACAGCTACTGGACCCTGAAATGGACAGGGAAACTGCTAACATGAATCGTGAGATGCTAAATAGTTGCACTATGTTGTTTATCCGTCAATCTGGCACCAGTCTTTGCTACTTGCTTCAACACAACAAAGATACGACTTTCTAACATCATTATTGTTGGTTGGAAGCTAATGCTTCTTGTGCAGCTGCATGTAAAGTTCATTTATGTTCAGCTATGTTATTGTTTGTATTAGTTAGTTGATAGTACAAGTACTGTAGCAAAGTTGCACGAATAGTTGACAAGTTCCAGTCGCTAGTAGGGAAGGCATGGCAGCGTTATCCCGGAGGTTGCTGGTTCGATCCCCGGTGGGGATATGTTACAAAGTTAAGCCTTCGGGTCCTGGTCCTAGGGGTCACCAGCACTGTCCTGTCAGATAGTAACGTCCCCTGATTTTGCGACAGGGGCATGACAACGACGTGTGATTGGTCAATTAGAATTGACCGGTCTGCAGGTGGAACTGCAAATGATGATTGTACAGCTGAGACGACTGGCGACGAAGCGCAGAAGATCTAATGGTAGCAAGAATGAGACTAACGGTAGAAAGAGGTAAACACACAATACTATTCACTTTTTGTTTTTACTGCTTCGACCACAAGTAACTATTTCTAAGCGCTCACGACAACCTAGGAATTTAACAGGTTATGAGCCCAAGCGTTGAGATTGCGCCCAAGATTCTATATTTTTAACGGAACAAACTACATTTAGTGGGCGTTCAAGATAAAGATGTTTTTCATGTCTGAGGGACTATAGGAGGCAGTGAACGGTGGATCGGCCGTCACAGCAGCTCAGGAGCAGCAGGCGCACGCAGCGATCGTTTTGAACCTGAGCGACGCACAGCTCATGCACGTCGCTTGCACGGAGAATGCACGCGATGCATGGTCAGCTCTCGCTCGAGTTCATCGGACTCACGACATGGCAAGTCGGCTGTGGCTAAAGGAAACGTTTGAGTCTTTCAAATACACGGCCCTAGACATGACATCTCACGTCATGGAGCTGGAGCAATTGGTGCTGAAGGTGAATGGAGCTGAATGTGGGCCTAGCGAAGAGGATAAGTGCGCAACCATGCTGCGCAGCCTTCCAGCTTCATATGAAAGCCTGGTTCAAGCGTTTTGTATGAGTGTGACGACATTTAGCTTCACAGACCTCGTAAACAAAATCATAGCCGAAGAGGTACGCAAAAAAGACTCGTCGCGAATCGAAGAAGCGACAGCGTTGCACATCGGCAAGCGCATAGACAAGAGCAGGCCTACAAAGAAGAATGAGGGTCAGCGAAAGAATGGGTCGAATGCTCAGTGCTTTAAGCGCGAGAAGCGCGGGCACTTCGCGCGCGACTGTTGGGCGAAGCCGTCAGGCGGTGACGAGGTGCACAAAGATCACTCTAATGTTGCATTCAACGTGTCTGAAGATAGCACAAGCGACTGCTGGATAATGGACAGTGGCGCGACATCTCACACGTGTAAGGACCGAGAGTATTTTGTTAAATACGCAGAAATGAAGTCGGTACAAAATGTACTAAGCGCCAAGAATAGTGCGTGTTTGAAGGTGCTTGGACGGGTCACAGTAGTCTCACGAGGTTGGAACGGCACATCGTGGATGAACGCGAGGCTGAAAAATGCTCTCCATGTGCACGACCTCAGCAAGAACCTATTTTCGTTGACGGCAGCAACAGCGCGCGGGATGACGATCGATATTGCAGGAAATGACTGCATCGTCGAGAAAAGCGGACGACCCGTTGCGACAGGATCACGGCGCGGTGTGCTCCTTCTACTCAATGTTGAAACCAAATCCGAGTGCCACATGTTAAAGGGCGAAGCAGAACTGTGGCATCGTCGACTCGGACAAGTGTCCAACTCTACTGTGAACAAGCTGATCAAGCAAGGCTGTATCAACGGCGACTACATCGATCCGATTGTCGTTTGTGAAGTATGCGCGACAGCCAAGCAAGTATGCAAGACATTCTACAGCAACAAAGCGAATACTGCAGCAAGGGAGAGTCGCTGCGAAGACTCGGTCGTGTGTTCGGATGTTTCAGGACCTTTGTGACCGGCATCCAATTCTGGCTACCGCTACGTCGTGACCTTCATGATGATAAAGATTCGTTTTGCGATGGTTTATCCGCCGCGAACGAAGTGTCAGGTCATCGAGGCTTTTATAAAATGCTATCATGATATCAAGATCAAATGCGACATCGACGTGAAGGTACTCCGCAGTGATAACGGCGAAGAGTATCGAAACGACGAAATGAACCGATTTTGTCGCCAAAAACGATCAAGCAAGAATTTACCCTACAATAAAATCCAGGCATAATGGCATGGCAGAGCGCTTGAATCGCACATTGGTAGAAATGACACGCTGCATGCTGAGCGACTACAAGATGGACTAGGCATACTGGTGTAGGGCAATGTTAATTGCCGTAGACATCTGCAATACAGTACCTCAATCGAAGGCAAGTCCGTTCAAAATTTTGTTCAAGCGCAAGCCACGGATCGATTCTATGCGGGTGTTTGGTAGTCTATGCTACGCGCACGTGGACAAGGCGAAGAGAGCCAAGCTAGACGACTAAGGTGTGCGCTGTTTGCTACTCGGCTACTCAATACAGCACAAGGCTTATAGACTTCTAAATGCAAGCACAGGGGATGTGGTGATATCTCGCAGCGTGACGATCGCCGAGCATGCGATAGTAAAAGCAAGCAAAAACATCACACCAGATGGGATCGACGTTTTGGATGACGAATACTATGTGCAAGAGCTTACAGATGCAGCAATGGATGATAAAATTCACACGCCAACACCTGGAAGTCCAAGTGTCACCCATGTCAACACGGGACCGACCGAACGACCTACTGGCTCCGTCCCAACGCGAAAATCGAGCACACCGGGGCGTGACGGTCACCCAGAGCCACATGTGCGTCCATTGCGCAAGAAACAGGCTATTAAATTGCTACGAGCAAGGGTTTCTGAACCTGCAGCGCGGTGTATTTGATCTCGATGACTACGAAGCTGGCTACGACGCACAGTACTGCCTTAGCGCAGAAGATGACGGCGAGCGTGCGACGACATACGAGCAAGTGCTTAGGAGAGAGTACAAGAAAGACTGGATGCGTGCCATGAAGAGCGAGATCAAGTCGCTCGCTCAGCACAATACATGTACTTTTGTATATATTCCTAGCGACAGAGGTCGATCGGGTGCAAGTGGGTTTTTCGAATATAGCGAAATCAATCCGGGCGATTGTAAAGTTCAAGGCACGGCTCGTGGCAAAGGGATCCACACAGCGTCCCGGCGTGGACTATTTCGATAATTTTGCTCCCGTGGATCGTAAAGAGTCGATCAATGTAGCGTTAGCGCTCGCGGCTGAAGAAAACTTGAAGATTCAAATGTAGATGTTGACACTACCTTTCTTTACGGTGACGTTAAGGAAAAGATCTACATGGACCAGCCAGACGGATTTGTGGATGAGCGACCCCGTGGGAAAAAGTTTCTGTTGCACAAAGCACTTGACGGCACAAAAAAGGCAGCACGCGAATGGAACAATCGTCTTTACCACCACCTCGAAGGACAAGGCTTCAAAAAGGCAGCAGCTGATCCTTGTGTTTACGTACGCCGATCGGAGGATGAATTCAGTCTCATGATCATTCACGTTGATGACTTGATGGTTTTCGCGCGGACGCAAGAACACATCGAAGACATCAAACGTAAACTCAAGACGGACTTTAGCATCAAGGAGCTCGGTGAGATTAAGTACTGTCTTGGTATTGTAATGATGCGTGACATTAACAGCAAGACAATTCGGTCGAATCAACGTTGATACATCAAGTGTCTTGCAGAGAAGTATGGCCTCGACAAATGCAAAGACGTGCACACGCCGACTAGTGAAAGTGAGAAGCTTTCAAAGCTCACGACGGATGAAGATTTTGTGCTTAAGTAGCTTTACCGCGAGCTGGTAGGTTCTTTAATGTACTTCGCCACGTGCACCCGCCCAGATATTATGCATGCGGTTGGAGAAGTAGCCAGGCATTGCGAGAAGTATGGAAAACAGCACTGGACAGCAGCAAAGCGAGTGCTAAAGTACCTGAAGACGACCGCGGACTTTAGCATCGTGTTCGATGGCAACAATAAGCAAGAACTGCTAGGCTTCGCGGATGCGTCGTGGGCGTGTGATTTGGATTCGCGTCGCTCGACAACGGGCTACGTAACCTTTACAAAAAACAGTGTGGTTTCATGGAAGTCGAAACGGCAGCCGACGGTGGCAACGTCAAGCACCGAGGCAGATTACATGGCGTTGTACTCTGCGACACAAGAGGCGGTATGGCTGCGTTTGCTGCTTTCGAATACTGGTATCGTACCAGAAGCGGGAACAACAATCTATGAAGATAACCAAGGCTGCATTGCCCTGTCAAAGAACTCAGTGTTTCACTCAAGAAATAACACATCGTCATCAAATATCATTTTCTTCGCGAAAAGGTTGAGGAAGATGTCATTGAGCTCGAGTATATGCCTACGGATCAAATAGTCGCAGACGGCTTAACGAAAGCGCTCGGGCGTGTCAAACATGAGCAACATTTTTAAGGTCTTCATCTCTAACCTTAGGCGCAAGCAAAGAAGCACATGTGCATCAAGGGAGAGTGTTGGTAGAAGTTGATGCTTCTTGTGCAGCTGCATGGAAATTTCATTTATGTTCAGGTGTGTTATTGTTTGTACTAGTTAGTAGTTAGTACAAGTACCGTAGCAAACTTGCACGAAGAGTTGAAATGTTCCAGTGGCTCAGTCGGGAAGGCGTGGTAGCGTTATCCCGGAGGTTGCTGGTTCGATCCCGGTGGGGATATGTTACAAAGTTAAGCCTTCGGATCCTGGTCCTAGGGTTCACCAGCACTGTCCTGATAGAAAGTGACGTCAGTGGCTCAGTCGGGAAGGTGTGGTAGCGTTATCCCGGAGGTTGCTGGTTCGATCCCCGGTGGGAATATGTTACAAAGTTAAGCCTTCGGGTCCTGGTCCTAGGGGTCACCAGCACTGTCCTGTCAGATAGTGACGTCCCCTACTTTTGCGACAGGGGCATGACAACGACGTGTGATTGGTCAATTAGAATTGACCGGTCTGCAGGTGGAACTGCAAATGATGATTGTACAGCTGAGACGACTGGCGACGAAGCGCAGAAGATCTAATGGTAGCAAGAATGAGACTAACGGTAGAAAGAGGTAAACATACAATACTATTCACTTTTTGTTTTTACTGCTTCGACCACAAGTAACTATTTCTAAGCGCTCACGACAACCTAGGAATTTAACAATTATAACTTCGAGTGGAAGAGGGATAAGTTCCACGACATGCCAGTAAAGACGAAAAATGTTTTAGATTAAATCACATACCTTGCTGATCACCTCCCCGAGCTAATGCTGAGATGGCATACCCCATACTGTCGTGCATAGACACGTCTTCTTATCAGCTTGTACTGGCGGGCGCACCAATTCCACCTGAATTTTTTCAATTATTTTTAGGAGATATCGAACTACGCCAATTAACACATCTTTGACTATCTTTTTGCTTAATTAGCTCAAAGCAAAACTTGAAACGCGTTCTTTAATGTTTTAAGGACATTTTTTCGAGGAATAGTCGGCAAAATGAGATTTCTGCATCTGATCGCTAGCGCGTTTCACAAATTAATAACTCAATAAACCTTTGGTCGACTTCTTAATTTCGTTGCAGCCTTGCAACTGATCAAGCATGATCGTGTGCCCAAATACGTATTCAGCGGGCTACGAGAGCTTTCATCAAGTGAGGTAACGGCTTGCCTAAAATGCGTAACGTTGTTGGTCCATGCCGCAACAAGCTTTTAATTGCGGAAGGAGACCCACGTGTCGTCTAGATATTTATGCGCTTTATGTCACATTTTATAACGCGTCCAAAAACTCGATTAAAGCTCAATGCAACGATTTTTATGTGTCTGGATGCACAATCTGTGAAGAGGATTAAATGTCAGTGAGATGGCTTCTTGGATTTGCTTAAGCTGCAAAACAACAAGAGCTTCTTGCCTCTGCCCAATCTTTAATGAGCTATGCATTCCCGCTACTAAGAATGTGCTTGCAATTCCTTGTGATGTTCTTTTTTGTATCCCGCATACACAACAGATTTGAGGCCTCAAGCATATAGTATATCAACGCTTATTAAACAGGTCAAGCTTTCGATCAACGGCGGAGGCTTTTGAAAGATCGTGAATGTGAAAGATCTTGTGCAAAAACACAACATCAGCCCTGTACAAAATTTGTTCTCTTTTCTTATAAGGACGAAAACCGCAGAGAACGTAGTGTGCATGCGGTAAAACCAACGACGTGGAGGAGAATCAGACGGTACTTTTGGTCTCAAAAGTAGAATAAAAGACTAATATGTCGTATTTAAGTCTCATCAACTCCACTGGCTAGGTGTGCTGTAAAGTAATGGGTAACACGTCCGTCACCGTCAAAACAATTCTATTCCTTAGGTCTCGTCCCTGTAAAATTTTGATTTGCACTTCTACCGAGCTTGCCTTTTATAGGCTGTAAAACAATATTTTTTTTACTTCTAGAAGGCTTGTTGTTTAACTTCTTCTTAATCAAAAAATGGACGGTGTCGAAAACCTCTTCAACTAAACTTTTACAAATCACTTCCAACTTCCAACTTGTTCTGAATACGTCGTGGAGGCACCGCTACGTCAAGTATCTGCTCAGCAACAGCAACATGTTCGATGGAGAGCTTTAAGCGGGATGAGCTCTTGGTAGGATACGAAGGTTTGGTTATAGTCGGCGGTGATGAAGCTGAAGGGCCAAATTCATCCTCTTTGGCATCACCGCGCCTTTTTAAAAAGCAATCTAACAACCTGCTGGAAGTCCGTCGCTCCCTTGTACCGTCGATTAGGTTGTAAATTTCTAGTAGGCCCCACCACGTTTTCTTCGTCTGTAAATTACAAGATTTACCCTATGGTAGCCAAAAACATCGTTTAAATTTGTTTTAAATCGTTCCTGGAAGGAAAGCTGATTACAATGAGAGCGGCAGGTGGGGTTAAAGCTGTCCCAGCAACGGTTATACCTCTCTCGGGCCCTCGTTCGTCATTTCGTGTGTATGATGTCCATTATTTATTTTAATGAAAATTGGAAAATCAAAAATTCAACACATTTGATGGTCCTTCGATCCAAGCTCCGGTTCATTTTAAGCCTTTTAAATCCTTCTGCCTAAAATTTTTTGTATTGTCAAGTCGCGCTTTACTAATCGTCTATGCGTTATCTTATTACTCTGTTCGTGTGTTACTAAATTATTTTACGTATTTAATGAAGTTGACGTCGCTGCCTGGCATAACAGCGCTGTCTAACCCCAAACATTTGGATTTGATGGCTTGACTTTCTCATTTGTACACCCCACCATAAACAAACCAGTAACCTTAGTTTGGCTCTGCCATGTTAAACTGGCTGAGCTTCAGAACACTTATTTTAAACGGTAACTCGAAGCGTTTATATATCAACAAGGATCTGATGTGGTTCCTTTCTGGTCTTTTATGTCGTATTGTATGTGAATGATGAGACTCAGGCACGATTGCGCGGCCAGGACGAATCTTTGAGTAAAAATTCATTCTTTTGCTGGAGGAAGCATATCTTTACTTAAGCTCCACAATCCTTGGCTGAACAACTCCATCAATCCGGTCGAGGTATTTACATGCAGTCATAATTATAATGTACTGTACACTTTCATTATTATACAATATTGCTTGTCGTTGTTGCTATTTTAAACAGGCGAATGAGCCGTATCACAACGGGGTGAATGCCTGTTAGAAAAATTGGGGTGGAATCCTAGTCGTGGCATGTAGGATAACTTTATTCAGTTAAAACCGTACGAAAGCAAATTAACTATTTTTTTCTTTCATAAATGTTTAAATGCATTATCTCGTACAGTGGCTAATTTCTAAAAAAGCCGTTTGTCATTCAGTGAGCGTCTGACACAGCTCTGGTCGATCGCCCATGAACACAGGAGATACATAGGTGATCATTACATAGATTACAAAAGCTAAATGGATAGACATTGTGGAGGTGATAGAATTTTTGATCTAAAATCTAACTATCGTCAAGTTGTACGGAGCGTGTAGCGGAGCTACACAGCTCCTTAAGTCTGAGGAAGACTTAACGCTCTACGAGCCACTTAGTTCTAAAGAACTAACGACTTTCCGAGTCAACAAGCTTTATAGCTTCAGATCCCTGTTCCAGGGGACCTAACGATTCAGTGAATCGACAGCACTTAGTGCTCAAGAGTAGCTACCTCAAGGAGGTGTCGCTAACTCTTAGTGATCAGAGATCAACGATCAAGACGGCTCGCAAGCCACGTGTCTTTCAGATCAAAATAAGAACTGATTTTTTTTTGTTAAAGCCTATAGAGTATCTTAATCCTACTCAAATAACTTTCGTACCTAATGGCTGACACTCATCAGCCCCTACAAACCGATAAGATATTCTATATCACCTTCACAGAAGCGAACCCTCAGGTGTGTAACACCTCTGGTACAAAGCACCATAATTTCGTGCAACCCCGTTAAACCCTCCCCCACCAGACTGACGTTTGCCAAAACGTCAATCGAACTTGTGTTCTCAGCGAGAACAGTGCGCGTACGGTGAACCTCACGGTAACGTACGCTCCAGCACGATGTCCTCATCACCAAACGAGTCAAAGGCTCTGTGTGACTACCTCGGAAAGAGGAAGAGGTGGACTATGGTAGCGATACCAGTGTCCGCGGTGACACAGGGACAACGTCCGGCTCACTGATGCCTGAGGCACAACTTTCGAACACCCCAAATCCGTTCGCTGAACGTGGAGGTGCGAGCGCGCCGCCAGCGCAGCATGCAGCATCTGGGTCTGATGAGACTATCATCACGAACCCGCTCGACGAGCAACAACAATTGCCGGTCTAAAGAGAAGAAAACGCTCAGCGTTATGCACAGATGACTGCAACCCTTGAACGCCAGCGTGATTATGTGTTCACCCCACCCAGTGTGGAGGAATGTCTGCGTCAAGCGGCCGGCCAAACATTGACAACGTGGGTCATTGGCCATGAGCCTAAGACTCCTGAGGAGGTGGTGAGCTGCCAGGCACTTCGTGAGAGGTACCTGGAGCCGCACCTAACGACTCAAAGTCAATACAAGGCACGCCTTGACATGCAAGCACGTGGTGCACCAGTTCCACCGATGAAGGGTATACGCATTCTCCTACTCGCAGGCGAAACAGTGAGCGAAGAAGACGATGCCTTTGTTCACTGGGTGCACTATGTGCGTCGCCTCAGCAACATTTTTGCTCTAAGGGCTAGTGCCCATGCGGAGGATGTGCGTCTCGAACGCAAGCTTCGGTATGATTATGCCAAGCTTAATGCCAGAGGCCAATTGCGCAAGCGCACGCGCTATGCTTCGGCTACTAAGGTAGCCGCGAGTGCTGGTCAGTCTGTGGCCAACTACCCGCTAACCCGCACCACTAGTGGTGGAGAACGGCCTCGGATTCGAGATGACCAAGGCCACGATGGTTAAAAGCATCCAAAGCATAAGGGCAGTCTTGTCGAAGGGGTATCTCAAACTCCCATGAGTATTCAGACTCAGAGTACCCTCGCCACTTTACCAGGTACTGGTATTGGCTCTGACGTCGACGTCGTTATACTATTATCTCTACATGACATTGACGACACCCAAGCTCATCGAGCAAAGTCGGTGGCGGCCGGTGTACCGGTGGAGGCCCACTAGAAATCGGTTCTCGAAGTGAAGGGTCTTCAAGAGGACCATGAATAAGTCCCAGTGCATTCTGGATGCGATGCAACGCCGACTTCAGGCGATGGAGCAAGCTCAAACTCGGAGCGAGGCTCAGTTGGACTTGCTGATTCGCCTACAGCAATCCGGGGCAGTGCCCTTGTCGTCGGCGCAAGCGTCTCCAAGTTCACATGGGAAGGATCCCGGTACGGCTTAAGTAAGCCTACGTAGAACACTGGATGTGTGCGCAATTTGCGCGGGAGGTTTAGCGTATACGCAAGTCCCTTCTTGGCCGTGACCGTAAACGGTCCAATAAAGCGTGGACGCAACTTTGTCTTAAAGACAGCAGACACTACATTTGTAGGTAGATTTTTAGCATTGAGTAGTACTTGGTCTCCGACCTCATAGCATTCAACGCATTTTCTGCCTTTGGCATCAGCTTGTTGTTTTTGGGTATATTGGCTATCAGCCATTGCGTCACGCACACGTCTTAAGACATTTAATCGCGTTGCGAGAAACTCGCCTACCTGTTTTTGAACAGTAGCAGGGCTGATATCAGCAAGCCGATCGGCAACCTCTCCCCCACCAAGCCCTGAATCACGTAGTGATAGCGTAAACGGAACGCGAGGGTGAGTGAGACCGTTTATATAGAACGGAGTAAAGCCTGTTGAGGCATGAACAGCGTTATTCAACGCAAACTCAACAACAGGGAGCATTGAGCTCCAACGCCTAGGCAAATCAGCGCAAACACTGCGCAAAATGTCGTTGATGACGCGGTTTACACGCTCAGTTTGACCGTCGGTCTGCGGATGATCCGCTGTGGACATGTCCAACCGAGTGCCAAGCACCTTGAAGATAGACTTCCAAAACTTCCCAGTGAAGCGGGGGTCTCTATCAGAGACAATTGCCACAGGCAAGCCATGTTGGCGAAAGACACGGTCGATAAACAGCTTTGCTGTACCTTCAGCATCAATGCTATCCGGCACAGCCGCTAAGTGAGCCATCTTGCTCAATCTGTCAACAAAGACCACAATACCAGTGTTGCCTTCCGAATCTTTCGGTAGGCCAAACACAAAATCCATGCTCATGGACTCCCAACAACCAGTGAGTACAGGCAAACTATCCAGCGGCGCCGCCGCATGGGCCGAAAATTTTACCCGTTGACACGTTTCGCACGTACGCACATAGGTGCGCACCCACTTATAAAGTTTGGGCCACGAATAACTTTGGCTCACCGATCTATAAGTCTTCTCACGACCGAGATGACCACTTAAAGCAGTATCATGTGCCTCATAGAGGATCCGATACTTTAATTTCTCATCATGAGGTACTACGATACGAGGGTTGTCCTCAATATCCGTGCGATAGCACAACAGGCCATTATCAAGGGAATATCGATGTAGCCTCGCACGTAAACGTGCCGACAATTCTATGTCCGAGTCTTTAAACTCATTGCTCCCAAGAGCCCGTAGCAAAGCTACACACTGTTCATCCTTGGCATATGCCGCACGGATTAAGTCAGGGACTGACGACGACAGAGTCGTAACATGAGCAAGCTTATAGTCAGGTCGACGCGATAGCGCATCAGCCAAAGCGTTTAGCTTACCTATCTTGTACTTCACCTCGAAGTAATACTCGGCAAAAAAGGAAAGCCAACGAGCCATTCTCTGTGAGAGATGAGGCGACTGTGTCGCGGTGAGTAGTGACGCATGATCTGTATAGATCACAAACGGCTTGGAGCCGGGCAGGTGTACTCTGAATTCGACAAGAGCGTACTTCATAGCAAGCAGCTCTTTGTCATGAACAGGATAGTTCTTTACATCAGCTTTCAGCTGCCGAGATTCAAATGCGATGACGCGTTCGCGTCCGTCGACATATGTTTGTAACAGAGCACTGCCTATGGCAAAGTCAGATGCGTCACAGACGACACTGAAAGGCCGACCAGAATCGGGCAAAGCCAATATTGGCGCATGAAGGAGACTCTCCTTAACTGCTTCAAAAGCATTATGTTCGGTGTTACCCCAACACCAACCCACATCCTTTTTAAGGAGATTGGACAATGGCCGAGCCATATCTGCGTCATACGCACTGTACTTATGTAAGTAATTGGCAAGGCCAAGCCACTTACGCAAGCTCTTTTGGTTCTGAGGAACTGGCCAATCGACTATGGCTTTCACCTTAGCGGGATCCGCTCGAAGGCCTAGCTTCCCAATGAAGCACCCTAGAAAGGGAATCTCTTCTGCACCAAAGATGCACTTCGATGCGTTCACATACAGCTTATTCGTTCGCATGCACTCGAGCACAGCTCGTAAATGATCAATGTGGTTATCCACATCTGATCGCCCATTCATTGCACGACTATGGACAAAAATGTCATCAAAGTACGTTTGTGCATAGCCTCGATGAGGTCGGAATAGTTGCGTTACCAGCCTGTTAAATGTAGCCGGGGCGTTAGATAGCCCTTGTGGCATAACAAGCCACTCCCAGAGCGTACCGCTAGGAGTACTCACCGCTATTAGCGGAATATCACTTGCTCGCATAAGCAGTTGGTAATAACCATCGACTAAGTCGAGTGCACTGTACAACGTACATCCTGCCATATTGTTCTGAAGCACATCCTTTCTAGGAATAGGCGTCTGCTCCGGTATAGTGGCTGCATTAAGCTTATTATAAGCATGCACACAAAATGTCGGTGTTGAATGGGGAGACTTGCTCTCACGAACCATTCCAGCCGCGTCCTTAGCACGAAAGAATTCGTCAATGACGTCACACTGTTCTTTAGGCAAAGGCCACTGCCGTGTTACACAATATTTAGTTCCAGGAACTAAGTCAATCCCATGACGTACACCTCTATCGGGAGGTAAGGTAGAAGGTAGGTTGTGACACACCACATCTTAAAATTCCTTAACTAAAGGATAGAACGGATCCAAAGGATCTTTAAGGATCGAAGATCCACTTCGTGCACTAAGTGCCGCCTTTGTATCCTCTAGGACAGACTCATCCATTAACGAGGGAGAATTTAAGTCAGTATCAGGTCTAATGATTGCTAACTCGGATAACTCTCCTGCCTTCAAGGCCTGGCTAAACTCGCCATCAGACATTTCGTCTAGCTCACACAGAGCGTCCACAGATGGAAGGGTTTCGAGGCTCACGTTGCCATTAACCTGACCAGTCACTCCGTTAACAAGTGTATTTAGTGTATTACTATGATCACTATGTGACTTTGTGGACGCCTGGCGCTTTACAGTTGTTACTCGGCGTCTCGATCGTCTCTTCGAGACCTTACACCCCTTAGGGGTCGGGACAATATTGTCTTCATGGTTACTAATAACCATAGTACGCTCTATACGAGAGCTTTTGTCTTGACCGACATCCGGTGAAGTGTTACATAACTCGAACACTTCACCCAGTGGATTGAAACGTGCCACTCCACGTGTATAATGCGGGCCTAGCCCTAAATTTGACGGCGTCTCGCCAGTAAGGTCATTACCGACATTAGGTGTGGTGTCCGCACGGCCGTCAACACTATACGGCGTATCGCCAACAGTATCATTACTGACACTAGGTGTGGTGTCCTCACGGCCGCCCACACTCTACGGCGTATCGCCAACAACACCATTACCGGCGTTAAGCTTGGTGCCCTCACGGCCGTCCACACTATACGGCGAATCGCCAACAATATCATTACTGACATTAGGTGTGGTGCCCTCACGGCCGCCCACACTATATGGCGAATCGCCAACAACGTCATTACCGACGTTCAGTGCGGAGCTCTCACGGCCGACCGCACTCGGTGTAGTTTCACGTGCCACCATACACACATCAAATGAATCACATCCTTGATCACTAGGACCTAGGCCAACCATGCTTTCAGCATGCAGTGACTCGTTATCACAACGAGCAACACTCAACGGAGTACGTGCCGTTTCACTAGTTTTAGACGAGCTAGGCTCAAAACTTATGTTTGTAGCATTGGTGTTAGATAACTCAGACATTCCAATATCCAGCACATTGACATATTCTGTCAAAGACTCGCGCCAATAGCGCTTCTGTTGCCTAGCGAAGGTGTGTTCATGACTCTTCAAAGCTTCGCTAGGAACATTGCGCGTAGCGCCTAAGGTCTTAGACCTCCAATCAATCCAGGGCTCACGGCGTTCAAGCCAAGCCATACCTAGGATGAGATCATATCTCGAGTCCAAATCTAGGACAAGACAGCGCTCAATACTATCAAAGTCTAAAAACTATATACTTAAGTTCAGTAGAACTTTAGACACAGTTACGCAGCTTCCAGTCGCTAAACGAACCGTGATAGAATCACCCTCATGCGCTGTAAGCGCCTCAGCATAACGCTGACTTCCCTCAAGGGAACGGCGTCGAGCATAATTGCAAGACGCTCCAGAATCGATCGATATCGACCAAGGCTTCTCGAAGCCCTTAAGTTTCGCCTCGGCGACCAACAAGCCAGACTTGTATCCACGCACCATTCTTGTAGGTATGGTACTTTTGGGGCTAAGACCTGCATTCCTTTACCTTCTAAAGGTGTAACAGAACCTAGTTCTTCCCCAGTAGGGCGCCCCGCGCCTACTGGGTGTCGGCATTTCCCCGTGCCATGCCAGACTTCTGACTCGGGATCGAGTGTTAACTCGTAGCCTGGCGTTGCTTACGCAAAGGGCAACCAGGCCGCAAGTGTTTAGTGCTTCCGCACGTAAAACATCGTCGTACGACGTGTTGCTGCTCAGCAGCTTAAAGCTCAGCTGCACCTCCATCTTTAGCATAGCTGAGATTCATCGGTTCCGGCCTAGTATAGGCAGTGGTACCCGAAACGCTCGCTCTCGCAGAGCAAGGATTGTATCCATTCCAACAAAGTCTGGCCGATTTGAAGTTATTCTCAGCATTAAGAGCAATTCTCACAGCCTCTCTAAACGTACAGGAGTGAACCCGAAAAGCCTCGGTTCTGGCAATGCCAGTACGTAGACCTTCCATGTAGATAGTCACTTGGACTGCTTCAGGCAGAGGGTCAGACTGCGTTGCAGCCATGAGCGTTCGCAGCTCTTGGACATAGTCCAATCTTTCATTCTTACCCTGGCGGGTAGAAAGAAAGCGTGAGCGCACGCGGTAAGCCTGGTTAGGTGGAGAAAACACCTGTACCAATTGTAACTTGAGCGACTCCCATGTGGGAAACGCTATGTCCACCGACGTGCTACACGTCAAGGCCCATTCTCTAGCTCTACCATCGAGCTTCGAGATAGCCAGCGAGACCTGTTGATGGTCAAGCGTGATCAGGCCTGATCTCATGGCCATCTCGATCTCACGGATCCAGAGGATGAGGTTCTCGCCCTCCTTACCGGAGTAGTTTTTTACTTCCACTCTAAGTGGACGAGGCTTAGCCTCTTTGTCTGGTACAGACACGTAGCGTGTAGGCATAGCCGACGCTATTTGGTCTTCGACCTTCCCTAAAAGGGTCGCTTCATACTGCATGAAGCTTTCAACACGTGCATTAAGCACTTCAGGACCTTGTGAAACAAGGAACTCCACGTACTCTGGACCCAAAGATGCGGTCAGCTTATCAAGCGCGACCTTTTGGGCCTCAGATAGGGGAGTGATGTTTTCCATCCTCACAGAGGATCAGTATTAAAGACTCAGGCGTAGATTGACTACGAGTGCTACCAAGTGTAGCGGAGCTACACAGCTCCTTAAGTCAGAGGAAGACTTAACGCTCTACGAGCAACTTAGTTCTAAAGAACTAACGACTTTCCGAGTCAACAAGCTTTATAGCTTCAGATCCCTGTTCCAGGGGACCTAACGATTCAGGGAATCGACAGCACTTAGTGCTCAAGAGTAGCTACCTCAAGGAGGTGTCGCTAACTCTTAGTGATCAGAGATCAACGATCAAGACGGCTCGCAAGCCACGTGTCTTTCAGATCAAAATAAGAACTGATTTTTTTTTGTTAAAGCCTATAGAGTATCTTAATCCTACTCAAATAACTTTCGTACCTAATGGCTGACACTCATCAGCCCCTACAAACCGATAAGATATTCTATATCACCTTCACAGAAGCGAACCCTCAGGTGTGTAACACCTCTGGTACAAAGTACCATGATTTCGTGCAACCCCGTTACAGAGCGCCACTACATCTAGCAGCAGTGCACCTATGATGAAGAGAGCAATTTACTTCACGTACGTTAGGCGCGAGGGTTAGGAATGAATGCGTAAAGCATCATATCACAGAGTTAATGTTGCCAATAGTACGTACAGAAATGCTGCGCAGTACGTAAGTACGTGGATTGCGTGCTGTGACGCGATTTATTGATTCATTAACGAATTCAATGTGGGTTTCACACACGTCTGGATCTTTTCCAAATTATCTATATCATCATAGGCTTTGCATTGTCCAAGTGTATACCCTTTTTAACTTGAAGCACGATCGAGACTATGATATAGTGCCACATTTAGGGTAAATAAATTGATGTGGTACTCTTTTTTTATGTTGTTACAAACGGTCCTGGCGTACTCCTGCTGGCGTATAGTGGCATGAGGGTACGTTTAATGACTTCACAGAAGCTAGTCTTAAAAGAAAACATGAAGACGAGAAGGTAGACGTTAAAGTAAGCGTTCGACGCTAGAGTTCGGCTGTAATATGTGGAGCCTCCGCTGCAGCACACGTAAGATTGTGAAAAGACCATTGTGTACCAAATATCGACGATTTGGCAAAAAAGGCGCTCTAGACCTACAATAATTATTGGGTGATAAATGAAATGACTTATTTTCGCAACGAATAACTGTATGAAAGACATTTTTGTATTTTTTGTATGATGAACTGTCAATTTGTCGACAAATGCGTGGGTTGCAATAATTACTCAGCAATTCAATCGTTGAACTTTTACAGGTCGTGAAGATAACAAAGTTATCTATTTACTCTGACATCTTATTCACATAGACATGCGAGTCTTTGCGGTTATTTACGCACGCTATTGTTGCAATTGGTGGCCAGGTAATGCAACTTTATACATCGATCAGGGCCTCTACCCCGCCACTTCAATTTTCTGATCGGAGGCGCTTTAAGTTTAGCACGAAGGCAAAGTAATCCCTTCAGGTGAGATTATACGTAGTAGGATAGCTTCAGCGTATATGGATATAGAAGGTAATCCCATCAACAAATATTTAATATAACTTGATAGTCAATATTATAAAATTGACTGTGTCACTGTTTAGGAATGTGTGCAGGAAAGTACAATGACAAGGAACTTGCAAATGCCGCGCACAGGTGTGCCGGATGTAGACATGAAGTAAATGCTGCTTCTTCAAACCAGTGCATAGGCACTTAACAATATATCGTCTCCATATTATGTTTCCGTAATTCAAATTAATGGCAGATTCAAGCGTGATCTAATTAGTTGTTGTGTGGGCTGGCATCAACAAAACTGTTGATTCGAATACGTCTTCTACTATCTCAAGATGATCTGCTGTCGCCTAAACCACACGCTTTGATAGTTACAAATCATAAAAGCTAACTGCTATAAAATGTGTTTTGGGTAACACCTTAAAATCATCTTAGATCAATCATTGGCCATGCCCAATTTTTGTGTGGATTATTAGAGTATTCGACACACAAATTGTGTATTAACTGCGGCGGCTGATGAGTTTGTTTTACGTGGCGTAACTAACCAAATTACACTCTTTTCCTTTTTGTATCAATCATTCCTATTCCGCATGTTTAAATAGAGTTTTTTGGTCCATTTTTTGTTTGTATGGTGTTTCGAGAGTTTGTAGGACGATCGATGTCTTCTCCATGTACTTTTGGAGCTCTCATATTTACCACAGTACAGTTACCTACATTAATTTGGTTGTTAGCCACCTTCATTAATTTTGTTATTGGTCAACTACAGTACAGTTACCTTCATTAATCTGGTTAATTGGCCAGACGCAATTTAATTTCAGGTGGTATTTTATCCAACTGTTGTTGTGATATATTGAATCTGCATCAGTGATTGCAACATTATTGCCTAATCTCTGGAATGCAAAGAAACACAGCAGACAATGGAATTTCAGAAATAACACAACGAAATTTGCAACATTGCTGCCTAGCCATTTTTTTGTATTTCTATAAAGAGTGCCAATGCCCATGAAAAAATTACTGATTGTCAGCGTACGTTTGTTATTGACATTCTTCGCATTCTTGCAATAATCAGGGGTTCCTTTCGTTGAGGCAAGAACACCTGTACAACGAGGTCTTTTTTTGGTGCAGCTTTTCATCTCCTTGATACCCTTTTAAGCACAAAGAATTTTGTTTTCTCCCGGATGCTACAGTCCAGATCATTGAAGGTAATAACAATTCTGCTATGTTTAAACGTTTTATTATTATATGATATACGTACCTCACTGCGTTGTGCATTGATTTATCCGATCTGGTGGGAGATCACAAAATTCGATTTGCTGAATATCGACGTGTGCACCTTCGAATATCTTTATTAAATTGCTAGAGATGTGATGGTATGTCGGTGTGGATACATTTATAGAGGTATTTGTTCATCCGAAGTCTTCAAGATGTTGTCGAGAACAATTGTTTCATTCCTAGATGATCAACAAAATTTTCACTATTTTTAGCATTTGGATTTGTTTTGGCTGCTAACAAGATTTTTTTATGATGGACATTGATGGTGTAGACCCCGCTCGTCTTAAAATCATTAAACACTTTTTCAATGAGTTTTTGTTGATGTATGACATACGCTGCCAGTAAAATAGGAATTGGACAATCGATAGATAGCTTCCGTCGACGAGATTGTACTGTCTGTCTTGAGTACACGCGATTTTTTAATTGTTCATATGGTTGCAAGTGCTGATATGCTGGTATGCAAACCTAATGCATTTCTGTCGTTAGGAAGCAAAATGCAACCAAAATGGCTACTGCAGCTCATCAGTGCAAGCCTAAGAAACTGGGGGACCCAAAACTTGTTTTTTATTATGCATTTTGTAATAACGAAAGAAAGATTTCTTGATGAGTAAAGAAGAAGGAAACCGCTTAATGTTCGTCAAATAGATGAACAGTTATTCATTTATTTTTTAATTAAATTATCGAAAAAAATTGCTTGGATTAGTGCCCTTCCATACATAATTTTCTATTTAAATTCTGCACGCCCATTGTACGATGTAAAAATTGGTTGAAAAATACCCTTTGCATGTCTTTAAAATATTTGGAGAATCCTGCAATTATGTGCAAAACAGGTAGGGATAATTCTGACATATCGGCCTGCTCGCTAGTCCACTTCGGATAAGTTTAAAGTCTAAATTATATAGCTATAGATAGTGATTGTAGCTGCAGGCCGGCAAAATCAATTACCGGTTACGCATTCATGAGGAATTATAAGTAAGAATTAAATGTGACGTAAGTGCAAACTTCTACACTTCTGTGCATTCAGAGAACCCCGGTCTAACGTATGCTGGAAATTCTTCTTCTTCTTACAATTTTAATCAGTATAGTCTATTCTCGGACGCGTGAAAACTATTAACAGCATCCTAGATTTCGTTTCGACTGTTTTACCTACATTATGCAAAAAATTATTTTATATGCGGTAATGGCGCCAATGAGGAAAGCTCGCCATCGGATGGCTAGAAGAAGGATGAAACGGACATTGTATGCGCATGTATAGGGACGTCCCATATAGCTTATTTTTTAATCGAGGATTTTGTATATGGGATATTTTTAAAAAATTTTTTAGTTTGATAAATCAATTCGATGGGGCTACAGAAAATGAGATCGGAAACATTACTTTTCACATGCAACGTTTTATTTAACTCCTTCGGAAGTCCTAAGATCACAAATTAACTTTAAACCTACGAGATTTTTTACCTCACTACGCCAACGTGAACTATTATTAAATGTGTGTATGAATGCTAGGGAAGCTATGCACTATAAGAACTACTAATTTGCTTTTCGTACAAAGTAGCTAAATTAGTACGGATTATAATTATCTGGGTCAGAAACTGGGTTAATCTGTAAGGGTGTGAATTACAGGCCTGGTGGAGCGTGAAACAAGGGTGTGGATGCAATAATTCCTCTTGCATATTTTTTTTTAAGATTTTGTGCCAAGCAACTTGGTCTCCCGCTACAGCTTCAGAGATTTGATTATTTAGGGCCCCTTTAAAATTTCAGTATGAAGGCGCTAGTTTACCGTTCGCCAACACACTGACGGTATATATACTTTGAGTCTTTAGTGGTTCTTAAATATGTAATGACATTTATATAGATAAATACACGCTTTGGTGACATTTTTAGTGCAAACATTATAAAAGTTTTAGAGACTAAAAATTAATATGCAATTTTTTAATCTTGTGGCATAGATATTTATCTTTTTTGCATAATTTGGATTGTTTTTTTCAGAATTTTATTTTCACACCTACCCTATGATGTAGATGCACCCCATCACACTATTGGCCACTAGACTATAGCAAATAAATATTAACGGCTTAATACAGGTAAACTTGTCGTTGTTAATGGTTAGTCTTGAATGCATTTCCCACTAGTTAAAAATCACTTGTATGATTGTAACTACTCGCTTTGACTGAACTGAATCTAATGAAATTCTATAAATGGTGAGCAAAGCAGTAAAAGCAG